ATCCTCGTCTGACTGCTTGCTTAGTGACTTTATTGACTCTAATCTGAAAAGCAAACTGATTGGCGCACGCGCAACGCATTTATTATGAGAGTGAGAGCTTTGTGTCCACTATACGGTTTTCTCAGAGTTGAGGCGGATGTACTTGATAGATATTTTATTTTTTGTCGTTTAAAATCAAGATTACTTTTATAGGATACATTCGTTTTAATGAAACAATTTACTACTTTATGTAACAGCTAGGGGCGCCATAAAGCAAATGCTCCCAAAAAGGCCAAAGTAGTTTTTAAAACACTCGGTCCACAGGATGTGTCTCACAAGTCCCATAGACATTAACGAAGCAAGAAACAGCCCATTAAGTCCCGACAGAGGCCGGTATTGATACAGTTATCAATGCTACGATCTCAGGAGATATATTATGGAGCTCTAACTGGTCCCCATTTGGGTGACGCTTGAAACACACGTGTGCTTGACACTTAAACCTCTACAAACTCATACGATATATGCCACGAGAAAATACACCCTTGTGAAATGATCAAAGGAGTCAGTTTTCAACGTAACTTATTTGATATAAGTCATTATTGCTATGGAATTATGTTTACGACTAAAGTATTTTATAGCTTCGGAACATGATTTTCAAGTGAGTGTTGTATTACCGTAGCACAGAGTTGATAATACAAAGTGCGATAATGGTAGATAAACCATTTTGTTATCGTGAAATACTCATTGGTATGGCGAACAGGCAGCGGCGTCGATGTGTCTGTAGGTTTGATTAGCTGATTTTATGAGCGGCGACTGCTTGTCTTGTCTCACTGACTGGTGTTTCGCTCTCAAATGTTCTAACATAAAATATATTTAAGGAAAACCTTTTAGACAAAAAAAGGATCATTATAATAATCACAAATAGATCAGAAAATGTCAAGAACACTTGAGCATTGTTAACATTCAGAATATTTTATTATATAAAACAAGTAGATTGATATTTGTGTGTTTTATTCATGAATAAATCTGAATTAATATTTGTCTGAATACAAAATATCACACAGCTTTTTTTAGGTCTATCATCTGAATCTCTATTGTTTTTCTTTATCATCCATATCTTTCGACATTAAAGTTGTGTAGGTATATTATACCTGCTTATCTATGTTATAATACGTTGTTGCTATGGAATCCATTAAGTGGGGATCCGTTGTCCGCGTCGCAATTAACTAACCTGTCTAAATGCGATGTGAGCGCTGAGCGAGCATAGCGTGGCGGTCCGTGGCACCATGCAAAAACTTGAGCCAGCACAGTGGAATATTTTACAAACGCCATGATGTCATGGTGGATTAAATTACTGAGTACTATGACCTTGCTTGTCAGTTGTAGGTAGTTAGTCAACGAATATTATCGGTACAGTACTACTTACGACTTACAAGCATTTGTAACAAAAAACAATTATTACAAACCCATTTTAACGAAGGCAACATTATTATCTTTTTTATGTCACTTATATGACCCATAGTCCTACCTTAAATATTGCTAGACAAATTGGTCACACTGGAATTCAGGATTACTTTAAATTTATAATAAGTTAGCGAATAACTTTAAGATTTTGCACCAACTCTAGTTAAGTGCATAGTTACACAGATAAATATTATATTAAGAGTTCTAAGGAAATTAGAACTTGTGAGTAATTAACAGTGATTTAGATACATAGTTCACAACCCTGAAAAAAGACTACGACACAATCTGCGGATCACAACAAAACAAGAAACGGATACACATATAATTATTGTTTTATTTTTATTGACTGATTCGATTAATTTTATCTATCTCATGAGATTATGTTGATGATATTTTATAACGAGTGTAGAACTCGTTTGGCCAAGAGCGTTGTCGCCTGGAGGGGCCTCATATTAGCATGGATTAATTTCAATCAAGTGAATTTGGTTCGCAGTTGAATGAGCGGTGAATGCGGTGATGGTGGAGCGACGCCTGCTCGCACCGCGCACCGGTTTGTTGGTGCCACCGCCATCCTGTTACTGTTTGTGTCTCTCGCAAATAATATTTGCATCACATAGTTTATCAGCCTTCAGTTGATAATACTATTTCTACAAGAACTGGTCAACTGGAGTATGTTTGTCTGCTATTTTTGTACCTGTTCTCAAAGGTCAGCAACATCTTTGTAGTCTAGATCCGGAAAGCTTAGATATTATGAATTTGATTATTGTAGTCTTAAGTCAATACTAAGCCACTGAGTACCTACTACATTTTTAGAAAATCTTCAAATAGATTGTTTAGAAAATATAGTATTGCTTATAGAAGAGAGCTCCAATCAAACTTAATAGAGTATTATATTATTTTAGTACTTAGCGAACATTTCGAGCACTACAGTTTTTAGCAATCTTTGTAAAATTATAAAGTAGGTACAATAAATGACTAAATGTATCCTATATTTATATATGTAAGCATTATATGATTCTAATAATTTATGAAACCGTTGATTATAGGTTTGTCTATATTCATAGTAGCTTCTAGTACATGATCATAAAATCTAATAGGTCAAGACATCGTGGACTTGACCACAGCAAGTTTTTTAATAAGCACCCATTACTCCCAGCCCACCAGTCAACTTTTTGCGTACTATCTACTTTTGGTAGCCATCAAGCGTCCGTATGATATAATTATGAAATAATAACAGCAAACAAGCAAGTTATTCTAATTCAATTTAATTTTGGCATCATATAAAAATACGGACTCATTTTTCTAAGGTAGGTAGACCATTATTTGTGATAATAAGTACATACTCAGAAACTAATAACAATCTAGTTAAAGCACAAAAACTGGTTGCTTATCAACAAAGTCATTACTCAGTCAGCCATGTTTTTGAAGATAAACGAACTCCGTAATAATTAGTCTGTAAGTAGCTAAGTAGTTATTAGTTTGGTGCTTAAGTAATAAAACTGCATCATATTTTAAGAAATATTGTTTGGTTTGTAATTCCGGGATACTTGCACAAGTTGGTTGCACAACATGTTCAGTTGCAATTTGCAAATATCCCGGGACATATAGGTCATGACACATCACTATTTTACTAAAATTAAGAAGTCAATGACAACGCATTGTTATCTGTATAGTTTATTTTAATTGTTACTTGTACAAGTGAAGAACTAAACAACCTTAATTAGGGCCTATGCTATGTAGGTAAATAAATTTTTCTGCTTTCTTCCCTAAAAATTACCTACATTTCTAGCAAGACCTTTGTAGGCAAAATGTAATGTACCTAGATAATATATAATTTATTACAATAAAATAATTTTATCGTAGGTAATACTTTTGTGACACTATCATATTATAAGGTAAGTACTGTCATATTTTCGTGAATATTTTTCGATTTCCTAGTAACATGCAGATAATACAATAATTTTCCTCTGAGCTAGTGTCGATGACGTGATCTCTAAAGATAACAATATTGTATGTAGAGTAGGTACTAGCACTGTAACTGGGCTCTGATTTTCTTATCAAATTGAGTCAATGCTTATTTATCACGCAGTTATCTGCATAATTATGTACAATTGTGCAATTTATTAGGTGTTAGCTATAGCATTTGTATAGTAAATTAGTACCTAATTACAAGAACTCTACTACGCAGTTGTTTCATTTCGCAATTTCCAACAGTAATGCCGACAACTGTCATCCAAACCATACATTAGTAGGTAGGTACCTACTGTACGTTTATCCTTAGTGCCTAACACATTACACAAATCACAATATCTTCAGAAAAGGGTCTTTTACATCATTATTTTTAAGAGAATAATAACTAACGTTGGTACACGACAAGAAAAGTATTTTGAATTTTGACCAACATTCTACTTTTTGTAGTTAAATCTACCGAATGTAGATTATTGAAAAAAATTTCCAATCGGTTGAAAACGATTGGCATTTAGAGGTTCCTAATGGTAACAAAATTATAAATTGTGATTCATAACCGCAACTGCAAGTGTCTGATTATTTCATTAAATAATTAAAATCAAGAACAGTTTTAATATTCGAATAAAACATTTGAAAACTTTTGTAAGGTACGGTCCTTTTTAGTGTTGGATCGCTATTTTCACGGTCGCCGGACGCGAGCGAGGCAGGCGCAGCAGGCGGCCGCTCAACAAAAAAAACAACTTTCCTCGAAACAGCGATGGCGCTAACTTTACCTTATAACCCAAAACGTCGTAACCGCCCGCTCAAACCATGTTACTTGAGATCTTATAACAACGCAACAGGCTGGGCCGAAATAACTTGTTGATGTGCGTTGCGGGTGGGACGGGTGCGCGCGGGTGTAAGGGGGGCTAGCGCCGCCGAGCGACGGCCTGTCTACGGCGGCGAGTCGGCGACACCCTGTCTGCCACGGTCGGCACTGTTGCCATTCCGTGCGCATTCCTATCCGCCCGCTCCCCTCGATGCTCGTGAGCCGCCCGCGCGCACTAAGTGGCAACATCGCAAGCAAACTTGTTTCGTAAACGGATGTGGCAGCGACCGGGGCAGGGCACGATTGTCTGTCTTCTTCTACAATGCGAAACTTTGTGTACAGGAAAGAGATAGAAATGGTGGCGCTACGTGCTATCGGCTCCCACTTGCGGCATTTTTTCACGCCGAGAATGAGGCGAGATTACTGCGTAAAGCTGCGTACACAAGCAAGTGTTTAAGATGTACGTAGGTATATTTTTTATTTTTTATTATGTAAGATTCTAAAAGACAAAATAATTTTGGTCGTCCAGTTTTAATTGCATTTGTAATGGCTTGGTTGAATCACTTTGTTTTTTTAAATTGAGATAAATTGGCAAGAAAACTACTTATTTAAGAAAGGAAATATTTTTGGTAATTAACCAGAATTATCATTTAGAACTTACAGTTACAGTTATCTAATGGTAAGGTAAGGTAACGTCATTTCATACGTTAGTTTGTGGTATTACTTTAATTTAAAAAAATAATACGGTTCACTTAAACCGACAGTGTAAACGTAGTTTTATATGTATACGAGACTCACGTCGCACACTCACGCACGTTGGACAGGCAGCGGCGCGCCACCAACATCCGCGCCGTGTCGAGGCGAGAGAGCAGCCACAGTCAGTCCGGCGCCGACAACCGCCACGCGAACACGTATTCTCCAAATAATGGCCGCCGCCCACACGCACCCGGCCCCCGCGCCCTCAGACCGTCGCTCAGAGGGCCGTGCCGGTTCCCGCCGTATATTCCCACCACAATTTAAGCTACAAGTTCTCGAAGCGTACAGGCGTGACGCTCAATGTCGCGGAAATCAACGGGCTACAGCAAGAAAATTCGGTATACATCGTCGTCAAATCCAAAAATGGCTTCAAGCGGAACCTACACTTCGAGCAGCACTTCTGAGGCGAGCGCCGCAGCCAGCTCCGTCACCACCGCCGTACGCAGCTGGATCTCCAGAGAGCGCACGGTTGCCTACGCCGCCACCAGTGACAGTAGCCACACCGGTGCAAGTGCCCACGCCTTTACCAGTACCAGTGCCCGTTCCTGTGCCTATGCAAATTTCTGAGCCCATCGACCTGTCAGTACGTCGACCTACACCACCACCTGCACCTCAACCGGCCTATGTGCCACCTACGGCACCTTGTCCGACACGCAAGCCTTTCAAACTATTCCGGCCGTATCTACTTGAAGACGAAGAAGAAAAGCGACCATCGCTGGCATCGCTACCTGTGTCTAGCGGCGTTCATGTGTCAGCGTTTGTACCGGTGCAAAGCGCGGCGGGTTGCGCGCTTGCTGCGTGCTCTGCCCCGCGATGGTGCTCACCTATTCCCTCCTTCCCGGCTCCACTCAGATGAGAGTATGCCGCCGGAGCCCTGCTCCGTAACTCCTGTGATCTAGTCGCTGACGCCCGCCTGGCGCCGCCTGGGGCGTAGCCCTTTATCATCGTGCCTTAATGTTCACGCCGCCATAGTGCATTATGCCGTCATCACCCGATGACAGATATTTTGTGTATAAAGTTTAAGATTGTATTTTTATATGTGGGGTTTATGAAGCTTACCTACATTTATAAAGAATATAAATATTATAACGTCTATTATTATTATTATTGAATAAATAAAGAGGATTGTTTACTAAAACGTTGTTTAATTCATTGAAAGTGTACTGGCCGTGGCCACACTACAGCAGGTAGCGCCGGCGCCATCCTCCTGCCTGCCTACCTGATGTAATCTCTATTATACTTTTACAAAATATTTGTAAGTTTTTTTAAGTGTTAGTGGAATTCTCTTGGCGAACTTACCACTCAACTTAATTATCACTGTTGTTATGGTTATACGACATGCAGGATTATATTCAATATTTTTCTTGACATATTTAAATACTAAGAAAATATAACTAAAGATTTAATAAAATATTTAAAGACAAACTTTAAAATAATTTCTATGAGCCACGTGGTCAAGCATCATAATGACACACATTGCTTGAGAGCAAGCAATCTTGCTGACCAAGCTGATTTTCTACACAAATTTCATAAATCAAAGTACCATTACCATATACAGTTTATAGTAGATACAATTAAATATAGGTATGTACAACAGTTGGTACTTAAGATATACGATCTCCTAGTATAAATAAAATCATTAAAAAAAATTATTTTAATCATACACAATATCCTGATAATGAACTTACAAATTAATGTACAAAAAGGTATTTCTTTCCTCGCCAAACTTTGTAATTTTTAAATTCTCAAACCTATCAGGAAGATAGAGATATAGGGCACCTCTCTCGCGAATTGATTTTAATTTTAAATACTTGGCTTTTTATTTGAAATGTTAATGATAAGCTCTATTTATTTTATTCAATATCTATAAATACAATTTCACATAGGTAAGTAAACATCATCATTAGACACGGACAAATTTGTAGATAATAGAGTTACCCGTAACATGTCGATAAGTCACTTTGTAGTCAACTAGTCAATTATTATAAGGCTTTATTTATGTAGGAACCTATTGTTCTATTTTGAAATAATTCTTTAACTATCTACCTAAAGAAGAATAATTTCTCAAAAGTTTGATTATCTCGAAACTTTTTTCAGTAATGTATTTCAAGTAGATATAAAAAAACAGCGCGTGGGTGACGTATCAATATTCAATACCTCAAAGATTAGGCAGCCGCTACAATAAAAACTTAAAAATTATAAAAGGTGCGTACTTGTATAATACAACTACAAACTTCAAGTACAAGTTGAATTGTAACTGTGATAGAGTCATGAATATAGTCACCGCACAATATGGTGTGTTGTCGACGTCAGAGCCACGGTAAGTAGGTACTTACTTACGTCCTAATGATGATATGCCTTCTGCGGTTTTACCAATGGACTTTCTAAGAAAATATTATGACAATATAAAACCAAATGAAAATGTGGTAATATTTAGAATTATTGTATCCATATTGATAAATATTTTTTAATATTAATAGGTAAGGAGTTCAAATTGAAGTACTTACCAACATAGAATACAATCAACTTACTCCTAAGGAAAATATTATCTACTTTGATTTTAATAAAAATGACTATAGAGCATTCATGGTGTTATTTTTCAACAAAAATATTCAGTGTCGGGTCTGAAACAATAAAGTAGTTGTTTTATTATTGAGAACATTTGCGGTGTGGGGTAACGTAATGGCGACGAGCAGTCTGGCGCGGCAGGGCGGCACGAGGCAAGGCGCGTTCATCGGTCCCCGGTCGCGCTTAAACCCACAACATATGTGGAATGCCTGTATGGCTGTATCATATACCGCACTAGGGCCGCCACTTTGAAGATATGGCGAAGGAAAAAAACCTGCCGCTACCAGCTACTTGGTTATTAAAATAATTGGTTTACTACAATTCAATTAATACACGTAACCAACGGAACATATTGGAATGTTGTGTTAATTGAAGTTGCCGAGTTTCCCCATATTAGGTGATGGATAATAATTCCCGATTTTTTCCATCACATATTTCTACCCATCCCATAAACTGAAACACCGTTAAGCACATATTTGGTATAATCTAATGAAAGTAATTCGTTACTTGACACTTGAAGACAGACAGAGAATAATGTGTTGACAATCCTTTGTTACTTTCCTAATACTTTATTGTGGTCTTGTCTACATAATTTTAAAAGTTTTACGAAGGTAAACTCATAAACTGATTAGACAATAATTTCCAAGAAACTTTGGTACATTCACATTAGTTAACGGTCCGGTCTACAACTACCTCAGTAAATTGTTTTTATAGCTCTTTAGATAGAACAAAGAAATACAAAATATTGTAACTATCAGCTTATCGGATTACGATGTCCTACAGATTATTTATTTGCAGTCATTTATGAAGTTTTAAAAACAAGAGAAGCCTACCTAATAGAGGTATTAACAAAAGGCTTTGAGCGGCAACTTTTGAACTATTTCTCACCAATGAATAAGTAGCCCACCTTTGATGTCTATTTATTAAGTACAAAAAAGGGTTTCAATAGATCTCTACGGTTGTTTAGTACAGAAAGTGCAGCCAGGGCTTTAAAATTATATTGGAACAATGTGGTTAAAAAATGTAAAAGGCACGCCGCTTTTAGTACCGTTTAAAGAAAATTTGTGTAGGCATAGGGAAAATACTTTTATAGCTTGTAGACCTCAATCTGTATCTGTATCTCAAGATATGCAGGCAGGATACCATGTACTTCGATGGTAAGTATCTACATATTTACCTAGATATGCTTGTTTATTGATGATTAATAATTCGAGGTAAACACTAAATAGATGTTAACGTTGTCGGGTAAAAACAGAATAAAAGTTGTTACTGGAAAATACCAGAAGCTTTTTTTTGAAACCACAATTCCGTATTGTATTAATGTTTTTGCTTTCTTAAGAACGTAAATATATTATGTATATATAGTTATTTATTGTATTGACATCATTATAACAAGAAGAATATACATCATCACCTTTTGTTGTAAGTGTTAAAAACATCATTTGTACCGAAGGGAATACTTACAAGATAATAAAGTACGCACACAATACCTGTCAGACGTTTCTAGCGTAATTATATCTGGACTGAGAGTAGAGAGGAACCATGTCAGAGCTTAAAATAATCGCAAACTACTTAAGTTGCCAAATGTTTCCCTTCAGCTCACATTAAAAATATGCTTTAGGACCTGTAAGTATTTCTGTGGCTCGACCGGGCACTGACGACGGCAGCGACAGCCCACTGACGTCTCTTTGACGTACGTATTGAAATAGGTATTTCGCCATGTTTTACGGTCGAGGTGGATAATTTAGCGAGCCGCATAATATAATAGGTACCTAGAGCTCGAGTTGCATTTGCAGATGTGAGTGTGATATTTACGATGTTCTGCCGGACGACGCGATGGGCCATAAAGCAAGTAGGCACGGCATCAACTATGAAGTCAAGGATATTTTTGGCACACGCGAGCACAGGATACACTCTCTGTTATAGTTCACGGGTCATATAACAATAGTCTTTCTACGTATTTTCTTCTAGGGATCGACGCTTGACGCAGTCTCGTTCGCTTCGTTGTTTTGTAATTTTCAGCTAACATCTGGCTGGGGTTTTCATGAAGGGTCTATTTTATTTACCTTTAACAATTTTTTCGAACCATTAACCAATCAACAATGTAGATAAAAAGATTTTTTAAGACTTAGGCAGGTTTAAGGTTTAGATGAAAGAGTGGCGACTGACTAAATAATTTTTGTGTAATCAATACTGCAATCAATTGCCGAATTAGAACCCAATACCCATTGCCTTCATTGGTTTCGTTGCAAAATGACCTTCATCACCTTAACTGCATTTCAAATACTGTTTTTTAGAATACCCGAGTTCACCAAGTCGTATTAAAGTAAATAAACGTGGCAAATTTCTCTTTTTATCCGCATAGAACTTAAGTTATCTCTCATAACCCTGAAAATGTTAGTTCTTTATTTGCAAGTTGTACAGATTTCCGTTTTTCTGCATGACTGCTGGAACGATATTCTTTCTTTCACGACTAGTAGATATAATTGTTTAGTAGGTATCCGGATGTGTGCGTGTCGGCATAAAGTGAATATCCTTTGGTGTTGTCTGTCTTTAGAGCGGGTTTGTTTCTTCAGCGCAAACACAGACTAATTAACCGCGGTGCCTTTGTTTGCCTCTTCCAGAAATTGCTTTAAATGTTAAGATGTTTGAATGTACCCGTTGCAGCTCGATTTCTAATATGGTTTGCTTTGATGTCAGAGTCCAGTTCAGCTAGTCGTAATCATACAGAAATATCTAAACTCTCACTGCTTTGTTGGGGCACAACTCAGATGAATGGAATGTGGTCCTTCAACCTTTATTATTTCACTCCTAACTTTGATTGTTATCTGTATTTCAAGCGATGCATTTCGTTCACGTCCTATGCGTAGAATAGAATATGCACTCGGCAATACGTAATGTGTCTAAGTTTATGTAACAGCTCACCGTGAAATAAAACTAAATGAACGGTAAATGCTTTGTGATACTTGCTACAAATACTTAACAGGTAAACATAGGCACGCCAGGACTAGTTTCTAAGAAGCCTTATAGAGTTAAGTGCACCGCGCGTTACTGCTACTGATCTTTGATACGTATTTCATGAACTTTATTTTTAAAGTAGATAAATAATTTTGAATCTTTGAAACTGTTTGATTCTGTCTACTATTTAATTTTATTTTTAAAAGATGCATTAATTTTGCAAGGCAGTTGCAGAATAAACTTATATCTTGAAAACATACAGCGCTTGTTATGGCATGTTATTGTTCTCAATTATTGTGACATGTCAATAGTTGAGTGAATTACATAATT